TGGACACATCCAGACTTGGCACCTAGTAGGTGGGAGCTAAATGACTCCTCCTGGAGCCGGCCCGGTCACCTGTACGTCTGTTGTCTGGGCCCCATCCACTGGATGACAGAGCTCTGCCTCCTCTTCATATTGACATCGTTTTATATATAAATACAAATGTTTTGACCGGCCTCTTGGGACAGTCACACGTTACTTCCTTGGGTAGGGAAAATTATCAACTTAAGTTACATAATGTATTTAAAAATTAAACAAGAATGAGATATCCAATGACGGTGAAAAGGATGATGGCTAAGATTTATCTAGTGATTATTAAGTGGGTGCTCCAGGCAAATCTGCTCATTTAAAGGCCATGACAACCTAGGTGGCAGGTTACTACTAACATGCTAATTTTACAGGTAAGAAAGCTAGGGTGTGAGAAGTTAGGTAACTTCCCCAAAGGTCACACAGCTAGTAAGTGGCGGGGCTGGGATCTGAACCTATATATTTAGGTTCCACGTCTGTGCTCGTAACCACACAGATACATGGCACGTACAGAAATAATACTGAGATGGCTGGAGTCAAAAGTAGCTGAGACCCTGAGAAGAAAAAAACCACTGACTAAAAGTATGACCTTCTGTTTATCTTCTTTTATTCTTCTTAGACTCATTAGCACAAATTATAATCAGCCCCTCCTGAGCGATAACGTCCCACCGAGAACATAACAAGGGTAAGAGCACAACAAAGGCGGGCTGTCAGGCAAGACAGAGCTGGGCTCATACCCCCGCCCAACACATGCCAGCTGGGGACACCCAGCGTGCTATGTCACACAGTGGGCACAAAGCCAGGTTACCGCAGGGTCCACAGTGTCCCCCCAGTGACTACCTCTGTGCCCGCCCCCTTCCTGTGAGAACTGTCTTCTCTCTCCACCACCAGAGCACATGGTTGGTGTGGCCCCTCCTCCCCAGCCAGGGCAGCTGGTCTCCGTTGGGTGCCTGGATGAACTTGGACAATCACAGCATCTCACTCCTGGTGAAGGGATGGACACAGGGTCCTGGCTGAGTCAGAGTCACCCCTGGTACTTCTCTAACTGGAGCTGGGAGCAGCGCCCCCTCTCCAGTCACAAAGCTGTGAGGATGTCAGCCCAGAGTTGGTGGTGACCTCACACCATGGTATCTGAAAGACTGAAGCTGGCATTTGGGAAAGGGAGAGAGAGAGAGAGAGAGAGAGACGACAGCACTGGAGCCCTGGTTCTCGTCTCTCCTTCCCAACTCCAAGGCTGTGAACACATCACCAACTAGCCCCCTTAAGAAGTGGACAAGAATTTCTTTGGGCTTTTAATCCCATTCACCTAGATGAGCTCTAACTCTTGAAACTCAGTTTTCTCATCTGCAAAATGGAGAAATTAAAACAACAGCCCTTCCCTCCCAGGCCGGCTCTGATGGTGAAATGAGATACACAGTCTTAGGGACTGAGGGCCCCAGGGCTGTTTGCTGACATTCCTGACACCTGTCCTAACAGACTGCTGCCGAAGATTACGAAGTCATTCCTGGTTCTTCTCTTTCCTGTCACGTCCAACATGACAACAAGTACTTCTGGCTATAACTTCAAACTACAGCTGACTCTTGAGCAACATAGGGCCTTGGGGCGGCGACCTTCTGTAAAGTCAAAATCCACATGTAATCAAAATCTGTCTGGCCTCTGAAGCCGAGGTTCCTCCATATTTGCGGTTCTGCATCCACAGACGTAACCAACTTTGGTTCGTGTAGCACACTGGTATTTACTACTGAAAAATCCACGTGTAGGTGGACCCTTGCAGTTCCAACCTGTGTTGTTCAAGGGTCAACCGTATAGATTATCTAAAATCCAACCACTTCTTGGAATCTCCAGGGCCACCACTCCGGACCAAACCCGGATGAGAACTACTGCAATGGCCCCTCACAGCACCTCCTGGCTTCTGCCCTGACTTTTGACAGGCTGTTCTCCACCAGCAGTCAAAGCGATCTCACTAAAATGTAAATCGGAGACATGAACACGGTCCAGTGCATCTCATCACTCAGCATGTCCATCACGGCTGTTCCTTTCCCCTGCCTCCCCCCTGCTCTCTGCCACCCCAGCCTTCTCGCTTGTCCTCACACAGCCACCAGGCTCCCACTTCAGGCCTTTTACTCCTGTTCACTCTATGCAGGACTCTTCTTTCCCAAACAGCTTCAAGCCTCACTCCCTGCCCTCCTCGGGTCTCTGCTCAAAGGCCACCCTCTGTGTGAGCAGTCGCTGAACACCCTGTTTAATCCAGCAGATGCCTTCCCAGCCAGCTCCGTTTTTCTCCACAGCACTTACCACCATCTGACCTACCATCTCTAATTGCTTATTTGTTTATCATCATGCTTTCCTCTCTAGAACATAAGCGTCATTTGAGAGCAGCGGGTTTTGACTGTTTTGTTTACTACTATTCCTGCCACGTAGCAGGCACACAATAAATATTTGCTGAAAGAATAAATGAATGAATGGATGAACGAATAATTTTGCCCTCAGTCTCCTTTTCTGGGGGTTGAGTGGTAAAACATGGACTTTGCAGGAAAAAATGTCGGAACCATAGTGTGAGACTTGGCACTTACTTGGCGCAGCGCACCCAGTGTGTATGTCGGTACAAGGAATACAGGAAGCGCTGGCGATACATGTTCCATACTTTGATGGATTTGTCTTCGGAAGCTGTAGCTAGAAACTGGCCATCAGCTGAAAAGTCCACACTTCGAACTGGAGCTGTGTGAGCTTTAAATTCAGAGGACTTCCCTCTCCTGGAAATAAACAGTTTGATATTTATAGCATTGGATTTGATTATAATCAATATCTAATCAGTATACATACTTTGAAACATAAAATAGCTTAACTCTTCTAAAAACTGACCAAAGTGTGAAAAGGCTGTGTTGTACTGTATTCCTCATCAATGCTGTTTCAAGCTGGTTTTGTTAATTAAAGTCACAGCTGACACTTAATAAGAGAGACCCTGGTGGTCCTCACCCTAAAATGCATTTGCTGATTTTGTTTTAATTGGAAGCTAGGGAAATAATCTTTTGAACACATCTCTAACATGCATTTTAAGTTGTTCCTCTAGAGACAGCAACATACGGCCTAAAGAACCTGCAACCTAGAAAAGCTAAGATTCACTAAATGAAGAGCTCTAAGGCAGTGTTTTCAAACTGGGGTCATGTGAAGTTGTGTGGACTGGCATTCTGGGTTGGGAAGGAGATGCCCCCTATGTTATTTGCCTCCACACAGAATGTCCCTCAGAGATCTGACTTTCCTGTTTTCACCCACCAGGAATGGGAACTGAGACCCCTGGGGTGTAACTAAGGCCTCACTTACCCCTAGGCTCGATCTTACATTCACAGATAAAACAAGATAAATGGTAATAACATACTTCAGTACTCAACACCTTGAATTTTCAGATGCATTTTTTTGTATCTGGGAAAAAGAGAATAGTGAAAAAAAAATGCTGGAGAAAACACTGTGTGGTGTCTAAGGAGAAGCAACAGGAAAAATGTTGAAACAGTTGGGGACAGGCTGAGACACACCACTCCGCGTCAACGTTCCCAAGTCCCGCGGCGCTTTCACTTTATACTGCATTCAGACCGAGCCAGTTTTCCATTCAGAGAGTCATATTCACACAGGTGACGCCTTATGGGGAAAATCACCAGTACTGTTTGAAAAAGATCAGGCAGCAGAATTTGCAGAAGCCTGCAAGTTACCCTCAGCTCCTCCTCCCCAACATCCAACAGGTCAGCAAACCTACTCAGCCACAGAGATACTGCTACGGGCTCCTAGACATCTTCTGAATTCCTCCTCTTCTTTCTACCCCAGCTATGCTTGCACTAAAACATATACAACCTCAATATCCTTCACCTAGATTACAGCAAAAGCCTCTTAACTGGTCTCCCTGCTCTAATCTTTTATCCCCCTCCAGTCACCTACATACTGCATTTATAACCTTGCTAACTGTGTAATTTCAAGCGTGTCAATCCCAGTGTAAACATGTCACAGGCTGCTCTCCAAGGAAAAGTACAACGCCCAAGCTCTTTGGCGAGACATCCTGCCACCGCACTGAACTTTGCACATTTACAACAGTCACGGTGCTTCAAATACACCTGTGGCTTAGTACTTACTCCTTCTTAGCCTGACTATGCCCCCTACTCCCAAAGCCCCCTCGACTAACCCAGAGTCTTCACCGTCCCTCTCTGCTACGTCTATTTTGCTTATTACATTGTACAGTACTTTTTTTAAAAAAATAGACCTGTTTCTCTCCTATAAAGCAGTAATTTTTTTTGAAGACAATGATTTACTCATCCCTAAAAGACTATCATTTAGCACAATGCCAGGTATATAAAGAGAGCTCAATACATTTTTGCTGAATTCTGCTGGGAAAAGTTAATACTTAAATGTTCTTCGATCCAACCTGGCTTACCCTTCCAGTGGTCTGTAGAAAGCAGAGGAGACTGTTACAAATCTCCACCACCTGTTATATATGATATTACACTAGGGACAACTAAAATCAGTATTTTTTTAAAACATAGGAGTGAGTATTCAGGGACTAGTTTAGGGAGGTTTCAAGGGAAAGTTCTGTGAATAGAATTCACTAGATGCCTGATTTTAAGCATGAAGTCTAGAGAAAATAAAGAGAAGGCTTGGCACCTGCTTTGACCAGGAAGCCAAGAGACAGTCAGTATCACGAAGATCTGCCCTGATCTCAGTGCTGCCCTCCATGCTCCAGGAGGCAATCCTGTTTGCCTTCTTTCTGAAAGCCCCTCCTCCACCTAGAGACTGCCGGATCCGGATCCGGTCTCAACAGGAAGCATTTAAGAAACCAAGATAAGACTGCCTCATGTTCATTGTGCTGGTGCTTAGCAGATTTCCAGTTCCTCACCCTGCCTTAACTTTCTGCCTCCCACACAATGACCTGCCCTTTCTGCCTGAATTCTCCTGACTGCCCACTGTGGTGAGCACCAGGCCACACCTGCTTCCCACCTGGCTCCCACTCCTTTCCTAGCCTGCCAGTCACCAGCCGTGGTATGCATTCACCTGCAATTCCCGTCATCCCTGTGCTCACACCACCACTCCCCCACCACAGGATGTGGAATCCACCGACTGCCCCTCCCTTTGAATCTCTGCAGGTGGTGTCACTTACTTTGACCAACAGGGTGTGGCAGAAGGGACACTGTGCAAGTTTCAGGTCCAGCCTTTATTAGAAGTCTAGCAGTTACGGCTTTTACCGTCCTAGATCTAGCTGCCATGCTATAAGGAAATCCTGCTGCTAACGGAGAAAGGGCACATGGAAAACCAAGGCATCCCAGCAACAGCCAGCACCACGGCTGCAGGCCTGTGAGTGAGGCACTGGACCTGCCAGCCCGGCTGCCAGCTTTATGGGGCTGCGTGAGGAATAACCAACACCAACAGGGCAGAGGAAACCCACAAAACTGAGAAATGCTAGTTATTTTACTAAGCTACTAAGTTCTGGGGACTGTTACACAGCGACAGACAACTGATTCGTCAGTCTCCTTCTCATCGCCATGATCCACTACTGCCCTGGCCCCACCATGATGCTTTAGGAAGAGGAACCACAGACAGCGACACAAGCCTAACTGCTGCACTTTAACTGGCCGGTACACTTCAATAATTCAGTGTACTTTTAGCTTATCTACCCTTAGACAGGCTATTCACCGAGATTTCCTTGAATTAGTAACAGGAGACTGAGGCATGCTGTGCTGAAAACGGTAAACCACTGGTCCTAAATGCCCAAGGTTAAGGATCTTAGAAAATGCCTTCCCTTACAATTCCCTCTACATTGCCCTCTGCACTGTCATGATAACATGTCGCAGCTCCTCAATCGCTTTTGCTACCTCGAGATAATGTTCAGATTTCTCAGCACGGAGTTTCCCTTGGGTAGTGGCAGGGGAAGAAGTGTCCACTGGCAGGAAAGTGCCCTGGGAACTTTCATTCACTCAGGAGGGCTTCGGCCTGTTCAGTCATGTGCCACAAAGCAAGTCCTGCCACTGTAGAGCGAAGGAAAATGCTTGTTTCTTAATCTCTGAAGTCTTCATGGGGGGAAATTATATGACATGCGGGATTTGTTCTAAAAACATGTACTCCAGGAAAAAAAGAATGGGGGTAGAGGAGGAACAGATAAAACAAAGTTGACAGAACACTGGTAACTGTTGGATCTGGTTGATGGGTATGGTGGGGAGGGAGCTGCCAAGCTATCCATTCCACTTTCATGTATGTTTGAAAATGTATATAATTAAGAATTTAAAAACTTTAAAAAAAATCATGGCTCAATAATTGCTTAAAATAGATGGGCTACCAGCTGGGGTTTGAAAAGACTCTTACAGAGAGCTTTGTTAGGATAGGATAGGACCATACACAAATGCCATGGGGTTCATACATTTGTCAGAAATGTTCTTTAACAAGAAAATTCTGGAGGCCAAAAGTGAATGATACGCATCTAAGAATTCTGGCACAGGGGTTTTTAAAGGTTTAAAGAGGTTCAAAGTCCCCTAGAGGATCCACGAATGGGCAATAGTAGGTTAATAAACTGTAAATATTTGGTTCTACAGACCAATGTGTGTCTCTGGGGAGAAGATCGAAAGCTTGTATCAGGTTTATGAAGGGGTTGATAACCATCACCCTTCCTAAACTTGCTCCCCCCCCCCCAGAAAAACGCCTTAAGACATATTAGGCATATTTCCACAGTTAGAAATAGTTTCCAAATAGAAGACATAACTATTGAGTTAAAGATAAGGACAAAAATGTTATGAAAGTGTGACTTTATGAGAAGGGCAGTACACCTCGGTTGTGACTAAGTATGAGCAGGTAACTGGGGGGTTAGGCATTCCAAGAAGGGCATAAGGAACAGCCAGTCTCCAGTTTTCCCTCTCATTCCTAAATTCAGAGCATGTTAGATGTTTCTTTGTTCCTCTTACTTATCAGGAATCCAGAGTCTAACAGTTCTGTCTCTTGAAGCAGATGCCAGTAAGTTTCCAAGCGGAGAAAACTGCACGCTGGTTACAACATCCTTGTGACCCACGTATCTGAAAGCTCTAGCTTGCGGCTTGAAATTCCATAGCATGAGAAACGTATCCCAAGAACCAGTAGCTATCAAGAAACAGAAGAACAAAACCACTGTGTGTTAAAAAGCAAAGTAGGCATGTCTCATTACAATGGGCAGCATATCTAATAACCAGACATCCAGGCAACAGAGGGGCTGGGGGTTGTAAGGCTGACAGGTAATGGCAGAAATATTTGTAAAAGAAACCCAAAGCCACATCACTAATATGTAAGCCTCGCTGCGTCCTACGTAGTCACACAGCAGGATTACTGGCTCCTGTTTTGGTTAGAACTCGGTGACTATTCACTAGAAGAAGATAGCACAATATAACAGAGACATAGGACTGGGAGTCAGTTCTGTCTCTCACGGTGACTGGGAAAGCAACTTACCCTCTGTGTCATACGGACGGAATGCTCTTCCTAAGAGGGCTAAATGACATGACTTTAAAAAACTGGGTATGTGGACACCATTTCATAGTTCCAGAACAGTCATAATAACAGTATAAAGAACAGTAATATACTCATTACCAGACCCACCTGTTGTTACTATTTTGTGCTGTTCAGTTTATAATTTACTCCCGTGCCCACTCTCTCTTTCTACACACATACACAATTTTTTTTTCCCAGAACCATTTGGGGGTAAGGGTAAGTAAATACATCATCATGGCACCTTTATTCCTGAACACTTAAGTGTATTTTTCTAGATAAGAATAAAGATATTCTCTTACATAACAGTATCACAATAATCAACTTCAGAAAGTTTATCACTGGCAATTCTTTAATCTACTGTTTTCTAATCTTGTTAATTGACCCAGTAATGTCTTTTATAGCTAGATAAAATGATCTTAAAGACTCTTTTTGCTCTGCTATGACATTCTACAATTAAGAAAAGAATCATGTGATTCAGACATCAGCTTAAGGCTTTAAGAAAAGGAAAACAAATGGAACCAGTGGTGGAAATAAATGCCTTGGACAAAGAATAAAGAAACAAATAAAAGATGGATCTAACTCTTGCCCCCAAAATAAATTTTATATATCCATGTAGCCCCAAAACAGCCCCAATGATAGAACCATGTCAATGAGAATCACCAAGTCTAGATCATAGACTATGTAGGAAAAAATACAACTTGATAAACTTGAAATATGATTAGTGTTACTGATAAGGAAAATATTAAGTCACTGAAAGCCTTTTAAGTTCCTGAGCTATCAATAAAATTCATTTGGACTTAGCCTACACATTGTTTCCATATAAAATATTTAAAGTGAGTTCATAAGCTGTATACTACCCCCTTTTTTTTAAAGTACAAAAAGTTGATGTTCCATTATAGTTATCAAATTATTAAATAAATCATGGTTTGAATTATCTGGGGTTAATGTAGACAAAGTAGGGAATTACCACGTGTATTATACTTAGGACTCTATTTGAGTTCTAAGGAATTACACTGCAAACAAGATCTGCAGGAGGAAATAAGACACAACCTCTTACTCTTAAGGAATTGCAACAGAGTAGGAGATAGTTCATTGTTAAATGTTGTTATATGTTGGATTAATGTTTCAAAGCATATTCTTCCTTTCTGTGGCTTGCCTTTTCACTTGCTTAGTGGTATCTTTCAATGAAAAATATTTCTTGATTTTAGTACAAATTTTCATTCTTGTTCAGAGGACTTTTATATATTATTTATTCTTTTTTTCCTTCCAGTTTTGAGATATACATCATGAAATGACTACCAAAATAGGTCTAGTGAGCATCCATCATCTCTTATTTTTCATTAAAGAAAGAGAAAAAAATGTTTTCCCCATGATGAGAACTCATGATTTACTCTTTTAACAACGTTCATATACAACATACAGCAGTGTTAATTATATTAATCACATAATTATATTCCTAGTACTTCCAGTGGAATCTTATACTTTTTGACCATATCCTTAATGTTCTTTGGGGTGATTAGTGGTCTTACCGAGGAAGGGGCATTTGAACAAAGAAATGAGGAGTAATCCAGGCTAAGCAGTGAAGAAAGAGCACCCTGGGCAGAAGGAACCCCATGTGCGAGGGCCTGAGACAATGCGCTTGGAAGCCTGAGAAACAGCAAGGAGACCAGCATGTCCAGAGGGGAGGGGAGAAAGAGAACCGTGGAAGCGAGAAGAAAGCAGATGCTGGTAAAGGTAAGGAGCCTTGGTAAGGGGTGTGTGTTTAATTCTAAGCCATTGAAGGACTCTGAGCAGGGGGATCTTGAGATCTTATTTAAGAAAACTGCCACTCTGACAGCGACAAAAGGATGGTTTTTACAAAACATTACGTTGGGTCAACTGGTTATTCTTTCATAAGGGAAAAAAATGTATCTTGACTCCTACACTTTATACTATACACAAAAATAATTACATGCAAATTGCAGATCTAAATGTGATAGGTAACACAATAAGCTTTTAGAAAAGGGCAAAGGAGAGAATCTTCATGGCCTCTGGGGTAGGCAAAGGGATTGCTTAAACAGGACATGAAAAATACTAACCTACTAAAATTACTACAGGAAAAGAATGAAAATTTGTACTAAAATCAAGAAATATTTTTCATTGAAAGATACCACTAAGCAAGTGAAAAGGCAAGCCACAGAGAGGAAGAATATCCTTTCAAACATTTATCCAACATATAACAAAGAATACATAAAGAATCCTACAAATCAATATGGAAAGGCAGAAGAACACAATAGGCAAATAGGAAAGGGCTTAAACAGTCAGTTCATAAAGGATATTCAAATGGCCAAATGGCTGACACATATGAAAAAGTGCTCAAATCCATCAGTCACCAAGAAAGTACAAGTTAAAACCACAATGAGCTATCAGTACACAGTTAATAGAATGGCTACTATAAGAAAGATAAATAACACGAACTCTTGGTGAGGATGTGGAACAACCAGAACTCTCACATAATGCGGTGGTTATAACCCCCCTTGAAAAACTGTCTTGAAACCCACTGTAGCTGAACGTGCACTTACCATGTGACTCAGCGATCCACTCCTAGATATATACCTACAGAAATTTGTATGCATGTTTAGCAGAAGCCATGTACAGATATGCTTGTGAAACTACTATTCAAAGTAGATCAAAACTAGAAATTCACCTATCTATCAAAGTAGAACAGTTACATAAGTTGTGGTATATTCATACAGTGTACCCACTGTGTCCTGACATTTCATTTATATGAAGAACAAGCAAACCTGATCTGCGGAGTCAGCACAGAGATTACGTGGGTGGCAGGGAGGGATGATAAAGGCTATAAGGGAGCACAAGGGGCTTCTGAGGGGACTGGTAATGTTGTTTCTTGCTCTGGGTGTTGGCAAAATGAGCATGTCACACTGTGAAAATTCAGCAAGTTGTCCAATTGTGGTACGTATCTTATACTTCAATAAAATGTTTAAACAAAACAAACAACTCTCACTCTGGCTGTTGTGAGGAGTATACACAGGGGAAGAAGAAAATCTGTTAGGAGACTATTGCAATAATCCAGCCAGGAGAAGGTGGTGGTGTGGCCTAGGCAGAAGGCTGTGGAAGTAGGAGTGGTGCCAGAGAACAGGTTCTTGTCTTACACAGGAAAAGAATTCAAGAGCAAGACATAGTAAAGTGAGAGCAAGTTTACTTAGAGAGATATACACTCCACAGACAGAGTGGGGTCTGACTCACTCAGAAGGGGAAACAGCTTAGGAGATACATACTTAATAGGCAGCATGTGGGCCATCTCCGAAGGGTGAGAGGGAGAGAGACTAAGAGGTGTGGAGGTGTTTAAAACTAAAAGTAGATGCGTACTCCAGAGTGCGGTCCATCTCAGAAGGCGAGAGAGAGAGCGACCATGAGGTGCAGAGTTGCTAGTTTTTATGAGCTCATTAATTTCATATGCTAATAATATTAGCATACGATTAGCATATGGAATAGGAGGATTATTCCAACTACTTTGGGGGAGGGGGAGGGATTTCTAGGAATTGGGCCCCCAACCACTTTTTGACCTTTAATCGTCAGCCTAGGGACTATCATGGTGACTGTGGCTGTGCCATGAGGCTCAAGGTCTACTGGACGTTGAATCTTCCACCATCTTGGTTCTAACCAGTGTGTCCTGTCCTCAGTGCTGTGTTACTCCTTCAGTGGTTGTGCCTTGCGCCCTTCCCCCCTGTCTCAGGAGAAGTGATCAGAACCAAGATACATCGTAAATGGAGAGTCTGCAAGGCTCGCCAATACACTAGGTGTGAGGGAGAGAAAGAGAAAAGAAAACAAGGGTGGCCAGCTTTTGGCCTGGGCACCCAGGTGAATCTTAGAGATATTTAATGAGATTAAGGCATTTAAAGTATTAAGGAAAATAATACTTGTAATACGTGCCTGGCACACAGAAAACACTCAAATGTAGCTATTATTGCTAGTTTTAGTTTTTGTTACTGTCAGCACCAGCCATCCAGATAAATACATTAAGGACTGGAAACTGGAAGAGCTCACTCAGGAAAGGAGTCTAGATGAAGGAGAGGATGAAGGTACTTAACCTGGAGAGAAGGAAGAGCAAAGGAAGGAGCCATGAGTAAAGTTGGAGGAGCAAGGGGTCCATGGTGTCCAGGAATTCAGTACGTGTTCCAAAAGGGTGGCAAGCTGTGTCAGGTGCTTCGGAGAGATTTAGTAAGATCAGGCCTGAACAGGACGGGACCAGTGATATAATTTGTGGGGTCTAGTGTAAAACATAAATGTAGGGGCCCTTGCAGAAGAATCATTAAGAATGTCAAGACAGTGATAGAGCATTAAACAAGTGTAGGACCTACACAGGTCATTTGCCCAAGAAGCCGGCCGTTGGCCAAATGCTGGTTTGGCAGTAAGAATTGTTTCAGTGAAGTGGTGGGATCAAAGCTGGAATGATGCGGGCTGAGGAGAAAATGGGAGAGAGGCAGTAGAGAGAGTTAATGATTCATTAACTCACTGAAGGTTTACAGGGTCGCTAATAATCAACATGACAAGGACCAGGAAAAAACAGTATTACAGGATCCTGGTGAAGCAATAATGAATTGGAAGGGAAGGGGACA